TGTTTGGGTTGAAATCTCTCGTATGTAAATCGTGTGTGACTGAACTCTGTTATTAATTTCAAATGTGATTTATTATTCGCTATGTGAATGATTTGAATCTTTCACGGACAATATAAATCAATTTGTCGTGTTCGAATTCTTTCAACGAAAATATGGTGTTATATTATTTTAAATAAACTTGGGAGCAACATATTTATATAGTGAGTTTTTTTAAATTATTTTAATGTTTTAAATAACTGTATATTTTACTGCCATAAATCGATCACAACTATGAAAACGTGGCACATGCATATATATCAATATCAATACTACATATATATGGCTTGAGAGGGAATGGCTACATGAAACTACATAAATACCCTTCTTTTAATAATTTATTTTCATCTTTACCCCTTGCCCTAAAAACATATAAATAACTATTTATTTTACTATAGTAATTATTTTTAAAAAAATATTAAATTTATTAGTTTTACTATATAATGATATTATATTTTTTTTATACAAAATATTTAAATTTTATTGAAAATTAATTTTTTATTTAAGCACAAAATTTAGTATTTTTTGTTTTGAAAAGAAATTATGAGAAAAAATTATTATTTTCTTTTACTTTAAATCCTATAAAATAAAAGTAATTGATACAATTTTGATTGTTTGTTCGTTTTTCTTTTTTGGTTTTGCTTTCCACGAGGGCATAGTTATTAAAATGATAGACAATTAATAGAGTAAAAGAAAAAGTATTTAGATTAAATTTTATATACAATTGTACTAATCCTTTTTTATATTTTTTTAAAATTAATCTATAACATTTACTTATATTTCTTCGTACATATAAAATATATAGAAAATATATAGAAAATATTAGTATTTACTTTTCTGAAAGGTTACGGAGGTGTTTGACAAGTAGCTTTTTGAAGAGCTTTTAGCTTATTGAACAGTTTTTAGTTGTTTGACCAGTCAAAAAGCTAATTTAGGTATTTGGTAAATTAGTTTTTTGGAATAGCCTTTTGGACCCAAAAAGCTAATTTCTGAAAAGCTAACTTACCCAACATTTTGAAATAGTTTTTTCTGTAAAAAATTTTTATTCCTTATATGCCCTTAAAAATTTATTATGCATTTTACACAAATAAATATATTTTGATTATTTATTAATTATATTAAAATATTTTATTATAATATAGTTTTATTTTTATAAATTTAAAATAATTAATTTTTATATAAAAATTATTTTAATTGTAAAATATATAAATTTATTAAAATCAACATAAAATAGAAAATATAAATATTAATAATTTATTTTTATATTAAAATTACATTATATAAATTTTATACTAAAAATAAATTAAATAAATTAAATTTATTGAAAATTATAAATATAATGAACTAATCAATAACTGAAATAATAAATATATACACGAAAAATTTATTATTTATTATTTTATATTTTACATCATTTTCGATAGAAAAAACTATTTATATATTTTAATAAAAATATACTATTTTTTAAAAATCTAACTGTAATAAAAATAAATACTTTTATAACATTTTTACAATTTTCAATAACTAATAACAAAAAATTTTATATATTCTAAACTCAAAAAACATAATTGAATATATTAGAAAAAAAAAAATAGAAATGTCCTCAATTGTCATTTTACGTATAAACAGCTAATATTAAACAGTTGTTTTACCAAATATTTTAATACAAACAACTAATAGAATCAGATAGTCAAACTAGTTAATTGAATCAACTAACACGTATCACCTAATTAAATCGATCACAACTATGAAAACGTGGCACATGCATATATATATATATATATATTTATATGGTGGGGGTTGATATGAAGGCAGGCAGGCAGATGGTCCGGGTGATGTGCAATATGTCGGGGCGGCAGACAACGACGCCGTCTCTTCTCAATCTTTCTCTGCTCAAATTCGATTTTTATTTTTTTTTAAATATCTTTTTTAATTTCATTCTAATTAAGTATTTTTTTATTCTTCTTTAACTTTATATATATATATATATATATTTCATTTAGATAAAAAATTTAAAATATTAAAAACTTATAAGAACATAAAAAATTAAATATTGATATGTTTGTTTGGTTGTTGATTAAAATTGATTTGAATTTTTATTTAAATATTATATTTAATGTGATATTTTATGAGAAAAAATAATGTACTTGTATTAAAGATTGTGCAGAGTAAATAATATTTGATTTGTTTGCCCAAATTTTTCTTTTCGACACGATCTCAATATCACATCAATATCTATTTATATCCCATCGAAAAATTATTCAAATTCAATTTTTTTACTATTCATAAATCCAAACCCAAAATCCCAAACCCACAAACAAACACGTGATAAAATTTAAAAAAACCACTGTTAAATCATATTTGTGATTACTTGAGAAGTTTTGGTTTTGAGTTTTGATTTTGAATAGTAAAATTTTGAATTGAAATAGTTATTTGATATGATATAAATATGTATTGATGTGATATTTTGAATGTAAAATTAGATTTTAGTATAATAAAATAAATAAAAAATTGATGTTTGATTTGATTTTTTTAAAAAAAAATAAATTTAAATACTAAAATTAGGGATAAAATCTTACATGTAAACAGATTTTCAAAAATATATAGAACTTTAATTTTATGAATGATTACTAATTCATCTTGCATGTTCTCAACAAATTAAGTAACTAATGTTTTATCCTTGATTTGGTAACATATATCTCCAAATTAATAATGTGTTCGTTTGGTGAATTGGATTTTAAGTTAACTATTCATCCCATATTTTTCCCCAAAAAAATTAAATCAAACATCTATTTTTTTTTAATTATACTGAAAATCAATTTTACATTCAAAACATTACATCAACACCTATTTATATCACATTATACAACTATTCAAAATCAAAATTTTTACTATTTAAATCCCATCTCAAAATTCAAAAAATATCTATCAAAAGTTTAAATAACACTTAGTTTTAGTGTAGATAACACATACTTTGTGAAATAAAAATATATTGATAGTTAGAAATCGCATGAGTTTTATATTCATATCATATGCGATGATTGGGTGATTTTGATGGATTCTACCTAATTTATATGCGAATTGTTTATTTGCTGTGTGCAGAGGGCAAATATTAAATTTGACATAATTGGCAGAAAAAAGAAATAAAATTAATTAAAGGCCTAAAAGCCCATCTACAAAATAATTAGGGCAAATATTAAATAAAAAGAGGGATCACACGTTTCAAAAGGGGGGAGAATGGCTGGGGCAGAAACGCACAGGAGCAGGAGACTGACAGATTCATAGATAGCGCATGTGCAAATCGACAGAGAAGATTTCCCCCTCCCACTATGACTTCATCTTTCTCTTTTGTTCTTTGTTATTTAATTTTGAGGGGTGATAATGTTTTGGTTATTTTTTTTTGGAGATTCTTGATTTTCTTTATAAAAGTTCTTTTTTATTATCAATATTTGTCTAATTCTGATAATAGCGTTTATGATTGTTAGATTGATTGAATATTTTGGTACCGATATTTAAATTAGTTTGATAATCTAAAGTCAATTCAAGTAGGATATCCGTAATTGTATTCACATTTGAATAGGTGACAATCGGGTTGAATAGTTCCTTCCCGGGGGTTAGACAATCAAATCTAATTGCTCCTCTTAGGTAGTAATTGTTTTGAATTGGGTTTTTCTAGATTGGAATGCGGTTAGGCAATATTCTTATGGGCACACCTAGGCTTATTTGCTTAATTAGGGGTAGTTAACGGTCGTACCTTAATTACCTACACTGTAAGGAAAAATTGGTTGTCAGAGCTTGTTGATAACTATAACCAATTTATTGATACTTTAATAAGAATTAATTTAATTGAATTAATGATAGAACACAAGTGCCATAACTGCATCATCCCTTGAGCCAGACATCCCCTTATAGTCAGTTCCTCTTTAATTTAATTGCTTTGTTATTTTATTTTAATTAGATAATAAAAGAAAAATCCCCCTTTATTTACTGCATTAGAACACGAAAGAGTGAATCACACAATCCCTGTGGAGACGATCTCTTCCCCTATATACATTAAATTGTGATCACGGAGTATGTGAAATATTTGATTGACCGCGCGACAAGGTCATATATGTTATTTGTTCATATTTAAAATATGTGTTTTATAGAAATATGTAACGTGTTATTAGTTTTTATATTATATTTGTATTACATTAGTATAAATAATATACTTTATGTAGTAATATCGTATGCCCTTTTGTAGTTAATACTCCTTCTGTCTCAGATATTGTGTCTGCTACACTGTAGACACGCTATTTTAGAAGGGGTGTAATAGTAGATAATTAAGAATGTATTAGTGAAAATAATTATCCTATAATATAAATAATTATAAATTAAGATTAAGATAACTAATTAGTTTAATTAAAATTAAAAAAAAATTAAAAATTTTTAAATGAGATTAAAGTGTATAATTATTTTCCAAAAAAAGAAAGTGACATAGTATGTGGGACTGACAAAAACAGCAACGTGAACATGGTATCTTGGACAGAGGGAGTATACGTTAGTATATACACACATTGTCAAATAGTAATCAATAGTGTCAATTAGCAAAACACATGCTACATGTAAAATGATACATTGACAGATGACATGTCCAGATCAATGATGTATTATATTTGTATTATATCAATATAAAGTATATTGTTCATAATTATATCGTTTATTGTCTATTATAGTATCATGCATTGCCAACATAATACTTCATCCGTTATACAAATGTGTACTCATTTGATCGGGTACGAATTTTAATAAAAGTGAGTAATAATTATTACTTTTTTATTTTATAATAAAAAAACAGTACAAAAATGTAATGATTTTTCACTTTAAAAAAAAACGAAAATATTTTTTTTATGACAATTCAAAAAAATATATATATAAATTTGAATGACGGAGGGAATAATAAATTATAAAAATGAGCACAATAACTATAATATTCATGCTATATATATATGTGCATATAAAGAAATTGAAATCAAAGTTTCGATAAATTCCTAATTTAAACAAAAATCGAGTCAATCACTCACCGAAATCAAAGTAGTAATATCCATCGACATCCTTTAATTAATTAATTAATGAATTCGAGCTAATAATTAAACCAATCTGTCGAATTTTGCAGTCATGGCGAACCGGTGGTGGGCCGCCGTCCAAGCGGGGTTTCCGGTGGCCGTCGAACCGCCGGCCCTGATGAACAGCGCCAGAAAGGCAGAATTAGAAAACTCAATTAAAGAAAAGAGCTTCTTCGACGACGACGGCGGCGGAGGCGGTGGCGGCGAGGACGAGCTGAAAGAAGGAGCAGTCGAAGTCGTGAACCGGCGCCCCCGCGGCCGACCGCCCGGTTCGAAGAACAAACCCAAGCCGCCGGTTTTCGTGACCCGGGACAGCCCCAACGCTCTGCGCAGCCACGTCATGGAAGTCGCCGGCGGGACCGACGTGGCGGAGAGCATCGCCCAGCTGGCCCGCCGCCGCCAGCGTGGCGTCGCCGTCATCAGCGGCAGCGGCTCCGTCGCCGCCGCCACCATACGCCAGCCTTCCGCTCCCGGCGCGGCGGTGGCGCTCCACGGCCGGTTCGAGATCCTTTCTATGACGGGGGCTTTTCTACCCGGTCCGTCTCCGCCCGGCGCCACCGGTCTGACCATTTACCTCGCCGGCGGCCAGGGCCAGGTTGTCGGCGGAAGCGTGGTGGGCCCGCTGGTGGCGGCCGGGCCGGTGATGGTGATGGCAGCCATTTTTTCTAATGCAACTTATGAGAGATTGCCACTCGAGGACGACGGCGGCGGCGGCGGATCGGGTCATGGGGGGGCGGAGGAGTCGCCGGGAATAGGGCAAGAAATAGAAGACCCCTCATCTTTGGGTAATTACAATATGGCCCCGCTTAGTTTCATGCCCAATGGTGGGCAGATGAATCATTGGCCAAATCCAACTCAATACTAATATACGTATATATCTATATATATATATTAAAATATATTATATAGTAATATATAAGTATTTAAGTAAGTATGGATCAGTTTATTTTATTCTTGTATTTTTAAGTTATGTGTTATTGTTATTATTATTATTATTATTATTATTATTAATTATTATAAGTTGAGAATTAAAAAGGGTTGGATACATTATTGTATCCTTAGCATAAGAGAGCCTTATAATATCTATATATATATATATATATATTTGTTTATGGTAATTATGAGTTTTTTCACTTTGTATTTTTGAATTTATATTTTTTTATATTAAATATGGAGAATTTTATTGTTAATATAAAACATATAGTATTTTACGTTGAATTGTTGATTTTTTGTGAATAAATAAAATATATATTATATATATTGTGTTAATGTGTGTGTATATTATATTTTCTAATACTATATTCAGAGGCGGAACCAGACAGGGATGAGAAGGGGGGCTAATTTTTCAAATTTCGAAACGATCATCATCTATTTGTTATCCAATAATTTTATCAATTGAATTATCATATTTCGAAAATCTTGCAAAATATTACAGTGATAACTGTATATTACCAAATGAATTTTGTATTATATGCAATTGATAAATAGTAAAAATATTTATTAAAAAAAATAGCTCTTAAAAATATCATCTCCTATGCATTTGATTGAGAATTTTTTGAATTTTTTTTTGAATTATTATTTATTATTTTTTTGTTCATATCTATTTTTATAGCATCAAACAAGTATTATAATATACATTTTTTTATTATTCAAAATTTAAATTAAAAATTTTAATTTTCACATAAGTTCTCTATCAATTTTTAACAATTTTTAAATTTATTTATTGTTTTTTATATTATATATTATAAAATAAAAATTAAAAATTAAAAGGGGTGGGGGAGGGGGCTGGAGCCCACCCTTGCCCCCATATACATCCGCCTCTGACTACATTGTCTCGTGTAACAATGTATCTATTTACTGTTTGTGTTATTATATTTAATATTAAAAATATTTTTATATTTGTATAATTTTTGTACAATAATTATTATATTAGTATTACATGACACTAATAGAAGTATGCTTACCATTTTTCTTTGATTTGTAATATATTTTGATATAATTACTAATATTCAAAGATCAACACGCAAAAAGTAACGAATACTTAATTACAGGACAAAGGAAGTAATATTTATAAAAAATCATGCCACTCAAAATATATATATATATATATATATATTTTTCACTTTCAATGTGTATATTTTATGTCCTTGATGATTTGAGAGCTTATCTTATGGGTTTGTTGTGTCGAATGTTCTTTGGATATTTAAAATAAACATCGAACATATAGTACTCAAACATTACTATAAATGGTATATGGAAAACATTAGTTAGAAACATGAGTATGCATTTCTTGACAAGAAGTTAGAGTGTGTTTCCATGTTAATTAAAAAGATTTTTTTTTATTTTTTTAATTTTTAATTTTTAATTTTATAACATGAAAATTTACAATCGCTACTTTTTAAGTGCATTATGAGTAAAAATTTTTTCGAACCTAATAACTTACAAACTAGTAAAACCCGTTCTAACTTATAATGAACTCGGGGTGAAACAAAAATCAGATCCCCTACTAAAACGAGAGACGACTCATTGCATTTTACTATTACAGTTTGCTTGAGTTTTTTAAGTCAATTTTCTTGAATTTATTTTAATATATATACAGTATATATTATGCTTAGACAAATTTTCTTATTTTCTCATAGGATTCTGTCTAAAGAAACCAACTTTCAAATAAAATTGAATTATTATTTTGATTACATGTTTCAAAAATTTGAACTTATTATTCTTTTGAATATTGAATAAAAAGAGGTTTTTTTTTTTTTTTTTTTTTTTTTTTTTTTCTCTTAATGACTTAGAATGAAATAAGTACTTCCATCTTAGGCTATACCAAAAGACACGAAAATCACATCCAGTGCTGTGGGGATTGGATGTATAACCGTGAGGTCATGGGTTCAAACCCCCGACGCTTCAGGTCACCTGCCACATATGGTTAGCTTAGTGTGACTTGTCTATCGAGCCTGCGCACTTTTTGGTAGCGGCTGCGGGTTCCTACGTCGTCATAAAAAAAAAAAAAAAAAAAAAAAAAAAAAAAATTGCACAACTTGTTAGATTAAAATAAAATCTAAAATTTAATGATTTAGATTTCTTCAACTAGTTTCAATATCACTATAAAACTTCATATTCAATGTATTTTATGCTTCACATTGAGTACACTCCAATGTCGCTATGAAAACTTCAGATTTAAACACATATTTTAACTTTTTTAATTATATTTTTAAAATATCAATAATACTATTCATATAAAAAATTATAAAATAATTCGAAACAAATAGATTATTGGTTCCGGGACGAATGTAGTATTTTTTAATAAAAACAAATATTTTTTTCTCAAAATATTTAAAACTTAATAAAATTATTTCAAACAAACAATATTATAATTCTGAAAATAGTTAACTAACCTAAAAAAATCCCATAATTTTAAACAAATACTAAAAGAATACAACCTACATTTTAATCTTGAATCCAATCCAAATATCAAAATACTATAATTTATTAGTTTATTTTTGTTAGTTTACAATTTTTTAGATTAATTCATTTAAATAACTTTGAATTTATTTTGTTGTTTTTATTTAGAGTTTATAATTTTAGATATTCTTATTATATGGTATATGACTAATCATGAAAATATTATAAAAAATAATATATTGTATGTTTTTATTAACTTTATTAACTTTATTATTATTATTATTATTATTATTATTATTATGTGTATATACTTATATATACGTATATTATATTTTTAAATAATATTTTTGAAAAATTGTATATATATATATAAAACACGAGAACCGATTACATTTTACTTCACATAGGGTCAGTGACGGAACCAGCTTTGCGGCACCGGAGGGGCAAAATTGTTATGTTTATTTATTTTATTTTATTTGTACTGTTTATTTTTAGTTTCAACTTATTTCGAATCTATTTTTTATTTGAACGGTTGTTTCTGTGTGTAAAAAAAATAATATAAGAACTTTCTCGTCCATTTATTTATACCAAGTTGATGTCATCTTAACTTTTTCAATTTTATTTTTTTTTAATGACGCGGGAACCCGCAACCGCTACCCGAAAGTGCGCACTGGGTAAACCCCCGGCTGAACCTAATACTCTGCAAACTAGGCCAGACGGAAAAGTCACACTAGGGGTGTGTTTGTTTGGGGGATTGGATTGGATTTACACTATTCATCCAATTATTTTCCCCCAAAAACATCAAATCAAACACCTATTTTTCAATTTTTATATTATACTAAAAATCAATTTTACATTCAAAACATCACATCAACGCCTATTTATATCACATCATACAACTATTCAAATTCAAAATTTTTACTATTCAAATCCCAACTCAAAATCCAAACCCCCAAACAAACACACCCCTAGGCGAACCATATGTGGCAGGTGACCTGAGGCGTCGGAGGTTTAAACCCATGACCTAACTTTTTCAATTTTTATTAATACTATAACGTGGTTACGAAAAAAAAAAAAAAACAAAAATGAACGGAAAAAATATTTAAGATAAAATATTTTATTTTTTATATAATATATTTATAAATAAAAATATTATATATTATTATAAAATTAAAATAATAATAATATGGAGGTTTATGTAGAATATTAATTCCCAATTGGAGGGCAAATTTGATTACTAAATAAAAAAATATTTTATTTATTTAAATTAAAATAAAAAAAAAAATTGAAATGACTTGAGCATCCAAACTAATCCGATTAAAATAAATGTAACACGGGATGGCCCTTCTCACATGAATTCACGTGTAAGTATTTATAAATTAATTAAATATTTTATAATTATATCTGCACATTGATAGATTAGCAACTTGGCCATATAAAAAATTTTAAATTTTAAATTTTTAAATTAATTTGGGTCCCTTTCAACCTCAATAATTACTCTTTTTTTTTTCTTTTTTTTTTAAAAAAAATAAATTAAATTACTCTTTTTGGATGCCCAAATTGGATTGTTTCAACCTCAATAATTGCCCATTTGGTCCTCCTCCATTAGTTTAGTCAAATTAAATTTAATATTTGCACACATAATACAATATGTATGTTATTTTGGATTTAAATATATATAATAATCCAACTATGATATTTTTATAAATAAATATTGTATTTTTATAGTTGCATACTAAAAATAGTAAAATTAAATTACAAATTAATATTGATATTATTGTTTTTACAAAATATAATTTTATACTCCATCCGTCCCACATAATTTGTCCCTATTTTCTATTTTCGTCCGTCCCACATAATTTGTCCTTTCTATTTTTTGGAAATATAATTATGCACTTTAATCGTATTTTAAATTTTAAATTTTATAATTTTTTTAATTTTAATTAAACTATTTACTTATCTTAATATTAATCTATAATTATTTTTACTAAATAATAATTAGTTTTACTAATATATTTCTTAATTACTTACTAATTATATTTTACCTAAATTCTCGTGTCTACAGTAATACACCCATATTACATAGGACAGGGAGTATAATACATCAAGTAAATATATATTTGATTAAATAAATAAATTTTATAAAAATAGAAAGTTTCCTTCCATCATTATATATGCATTTATTTAGTTTAGTTATGTTGATGAAGAGATAATACTCGTTCTGTCCAATAAGTTTATATTTATTCTTTGTCTCATTTTACTTAATATATAAAAATATTCTTATATTTTTATAATTTTTAACACAACTATCATTATATTTATATTATAAAATACTAATATAAGTATTTTTGTCGTTTTTCTTTGATTTGTACTTCGTTTCGATACAATAATTAAGGGTAAATTATATAACACTCCCATGTATTTTAGTAAAAAGGCACAAAATACCGTATATTTTATTTATTGTGTGAAACCCCTTTATGTTTATGTAAAATTTGCATGAAATACTCTCCTTGTCCAAAACTGATGTTTGGTTCTAAATAAAGACCTAAATTACGTAAGTTTTATACAAATAAAAAATATAAAATATCTTAAAAAT